GCAATTTAAGCTGCCTTTGGGCAGGTTGCCCTTGGCTCACATGAGGGTATGCACAGTGACTCTTACGCAGCCCTAGCCATGCTTTGAGGTTCAGACAGCTGTCAGTGTGCCTTGCCCTGTGTGTGGGCATGTGTAGGTGCTAAGGAGGGGGCTTGCTAGTCTTGTTCTTAGACTGGGTATAAGAGTACGAAAAGGGCAATGATTTTGAGCTGAGGTTTTGGGAATCAAGGCCTAAAGCTTCAGTTCAGATGCCCAGAACATCTTCAGTTTAAAAGCTCTTAAAGACATGCCAGGCTCTGATTCATGGAGAGTCTTTGAGATACAGTATTTGGTCATCTTTTAGCTCATTTATGTGTACATGAACCTGTTTGGGGAGGTGTGTGCTCGGAATTTATTTAACCCAGCACCTTGCACGTGTTAAACACATGTTCCGCTGCTGAGCTATATCTCTCTGCCCTGTCCCTGGCTCTCATGCCTATGATATGAAACTGCTTTTACTAAGGAGCCTTACCCAACATAGGTTAGTAATGGTTTATCTGCTGCCTTTGGTAATTGGTAGTTGAAGGTCACACAGAGATTGAGTTTTATAGTTCAGTGCAATTTGAATTGAAAGTATGTTGAGTATTATACATGTGATCAGTTTTAGTGGGGGAAGTTTGGTAAGGAAATAAGTCTAAGCAATTTGTTGGGGTCTTGTGTTTTTCTTTTTTCTTTTCTTTTCTTTCTTTTTTTTTTTTTCTTTCTTTTTTTGCACAACTGGAGATTGAACTCAGGCCCTTGCACTTGCTAGGCAAGTGCTTATTCTACTGAGCCATCTCCCTGGCCCCTGGGTCTTGTGTTGAGAAAACTTGTTGGAGGAAGGATGTAGGAAGCTGGGAGTTTTATATATGTGACTTTCAGCACATAAGTTTAGTTCGGCAAATGATGGTAAGTACCATAGAGGGTCTTGAAAGCCTAGTGAAGAGTGTGCTTACTGGTACTAGGAGCAAAGGCAGCTTCTGAGTGTATTCCAGGGAGGCCTGAGGATTGGGACACTCTTGGTCTATATAGCTCTCTGATATAGTGTGCCTGCAGCTTATTTATTAGCTCACTTCGTTTTAATGATACTCTGAAGTGGGTTAGTGTGGTTCCCTTGGACCTAGCAGGAGGTATAACTACACCCAGGACCCATAGCACTGGTTTGCTGAATCACAACCTAAATATTTGGATTGTAGTGTAATCTCTGTTAGGTGAAAATCAGTGAGGGCAGTCAGCATGGGCCAGCACCATGAAAGATTACTCTGGACAGATAATTTGGACCCCTGCCAAGGGAGGGAACCTTCCATGAAGTCAGGCTTGATGCTTGGACCTTCACAGAGTTCCTTGCAGATTTGCCCAGGTATAACTGTACAGTGCTGCTTTAGTGTTACCTTATAGAGGGTCAGAACTACAGGTTCAGGGTAAGTTTATTTGTAAACATGTGACCTAGCAAATATATCTTAAGCTTTGAGCCAGAAAATGCTATCTTGGTAGATGGCACACTTAGCACATTTTTCATGGTAGTTGTCTAACCTGCAGAATTCCAAGTACAGGCCAAGAAGGTGCAGTGTCGAGGGCCGGCTGCTGGCAGTCTCCCTGACCTGGGTAGAAGCATGGTGCAGACCATTGCTGTTTGTTACATGTGCTGAATGAAGACTATCAGGGCTTTTGTATTGAGGGGAGAGATGATACTAAGAACTGTTGTTCACTTCTACACTTCTGCTGCTGAGACTATTCCAAGTGAAGGGCCTGGGGAGGCAGAGGTGCTATTTGCAAAACAAAGGAAGCACTGGCGAGTGCTGCAGCACCTTGAGGTACCAGTATGTAGGCCACTCTCCTCTGTGGGCCGGGTTAAGGAGCCTGCATGACTCAGCACTGCAGTTCTGTGCAGATAAATTAGCTTGTAAGCAAAAAAGCTAAGGCTTGAACTGAAGTCTCGGGTTCAAAGTTCCCTGGTCAGGATCTCTTAAGATGTGCTTTAGAGGCCTTGCACAGGAAGGGAAATGGCTTGAATGAGATCCTTCCCCATTACACTTATCTCCATTTCTGCTCCGGACCTTGGCTTAGAACATTTAGGACATGTGACATGGCTTTTGATGGTTTCCCATCAGTTTGAGCTTTGATCTATAACTTTTCCCTCCTGTTTCACTCTTACCTAGGCTAACCTAGTCAGTTTATGTTGTCTTTGCTTTAATCTCTATTTCTTTTGCTTACTTTTTGATTACTATTATTAAAGGTTTACAGTAAATTTCTTTCAGAGTGAATCTTAATTCTTTCACCGTGTCCAACTCTACTTTGAAGCCATTCTGTGTAATAACACATTTATTTATTTCTGTTGATTAAAGAAGAGGACATCTTTTTTTCCTAATCCCCCCAAAATTCCAGCTAGACCAGTTAATTAAGTGTAAAAATACAGCCATAGCAATGCTGAAAAGAAACTGGCTCCATTTACCCGTTACTTGTCCAAGGACAGGAGTATAGGGAGAGGAATCATTTACTTTGGCCGTATAGCAACTCTTGTTCTATACAGCAAAGCGTGGATACTAGGCAGTTGTAAAACACATGGCAAATCGGCAAACTGTGATAAAGGGTTAATACTTTATGTCAAGACCTACTAAAAAAGCAACAGTGATTAAACACTGGCAGAAATTGGAGAAAAGATACAGTAGACCAATAAATATATAAAAAGATGACTGTTTAGTTTCAGGAAGAATCCAAGTAGTATAAATAAAGAATTCTTTTTTTTTTAATTTTTTTTATTTAGGACAGGGTCTATAGGATCTACAGGGTCTCACTGCGTGGATTGGACTGGTAGTGATCCCCCTGTTTACAGCCTCCCAAGTGCTGGGATTATAGGCATGCACCACCACGCCCAGTCTCAATAGCAGTCTCAGTGTGCCCTGGGGGCGGGGCCATCATGGCAGGCCCCTGGGATCAAGCTTCGGGCCCCTGTGCCTGCTTAAGCAGGCACTTTAATCTGCTAAGCTATTTGGCTGGTCCTATTTTTTTTTTTTTTTTCTTTTTTGTAGTAGGAGGGATTGAACTCAGGACCTTACACTTTCCCGGCAAGCACTTATTCCACTGAGCTATCTCCCCAACCACAGTAGTACAAATATAAATGAGGTCATTTTTTATTCTGTTAGATGGATAAAGACATTAAAAAGGCCAACAAAACCCAATATTCACACTGGGCGGGACAGCAGGTACCCTTATAGTCAGGTAGTAATGTGAATCAGTTCTTTTCTGCTAGGTGGTTTGGCAGTGTGCATATGCATACACTTTGACCCAGAAGTTTCCTGTCCAGGAATGCCTTTTGGAGATGTGTGCAGAGGGTTATTTGACAGTTTGTAGTTGTAGAAAACTAGACAAAATGTAAGTAGTACCCAGTGTTAGGAGTGCTTAAATATTGGTATGCTTGTATAATGGGATATGTTGAAGAGGTACTTATTTATTTCGATTGATCGATCTGTTGATTGATTGATGATAGGTAGGGTAAGCATAACCTTGTCCCAAATGAAAGGGCAGCATGCTCATGCTTTTGAGGAGAACCATGACCTTGAGTTAGCTTGAGTGGGTGAGTGTGATCAGATGAACCAGGTGTGACTGACTCAGTTTGGTTTGCACCTGGTACTGCTGGGCCCTTTTTGCATGTATCTGTTTGCTCCTCTGGCTGGCTGAAGCAAGGTCATGGCTTTGCTCTGTCATTTCCTCTCCTAGTATATTTCTCCTACAGCGTGGTCTGTAATGCTATCTCATTGGTGGTCAAAGGGAACAGGGGTTAGGGTGACCTAAATCCAATCCCATAAAACCAAAGCATTTGCTGCTCAGTTAACTGGAATTATGTTGGAGGACAAAAACTGGCTCTCTTTTTATGTACTTGATTGTAAAGTTTCTGGGTTTTCTACTTTATCTTATGATATTCTCTGTTTCCCAAGGACCTGGCCTGCTTGCTTTGTAATTTTCTTCTCTTACTCCTTTTCATTGCTTAACTTAGTAATAGAGGTGGCATTCAGTAAGCATGGACAGAAAATGATAAAATAAATAAGGTCAATGCTGATCCTTTTAGTAGATGACTCTTTTTCTTTCCTCTTTTTAAAATCAGAACTGCTTCAGAGTTACAATGAAAGCAGAACTGCTTTCGATTGTGGTAGGGTATTGAGGAGGGCAGGTGGGTCCTTCCTTACAGAGACTGGAAGCAAAGAATCCTCCACTTCCTGAGCATTTTTTTGTGAAGCACAGGGACTGCTTAGAATGCAGAGACTTTCTCATGCTTCCTTTAGTTACAACAGCTGGGACCACAGACACTCAGGACATATGCTTAGTTGAACTGTGAGTCCTATACATGACATTTTCCAAATACCCACGCTACAGTGACTCAGTCAGTCTAGACCTAAGTTCTGTGGTTAGTAATGTTTTTTGGCTTAAATTTTGAAACAGTGTTTGATGCTAATATTAAAGTCCTCTTTTCATTGTACAAAAGTTCAGGGTGCAGGTCAGTGGGATTCTGCATCTGAAAGGAGGGCTGTGTTGATATTATGGCTTCACACACTACTTTGATGCTCCTCACACATGCAGTGTGGTGAATCATCGCTGAATAGTGTACTGTGGAGCTTATAGTCAGCAGATCAGAGAGCCCAAACCAGTAGTGTGGAGCCAACTTACGGCATGTATGCCACAGCTGGCTGTTTGTTACCATTGAAAGCTTCAGAAGATTTGCCGTCACTGGCCTACTCCATGTAGATTTTCCAATTCAAACTCATTATTATCTGGATTAAGTGACCAATAAAGTGCAGTTTTGTTTTAGTTTAACAAAAGGGACTAATATCTACTGTTTATTTCAAGATAAATACTAGTGACATAATCTAGGGAAACAATTTTATGCTTTCCAGAGAGAGGAGAAGACCCCAGGTCCTGAGGTATGAAGTTTCACCTTTCAGAGCCAAATGAAGTATTCTAAACATTTATGTGACTTTGTTTTATAGACAGAAATCGCCAAGAGATTGAACACGATTTGTGCACAAGTCATCCCATTTCTGTCTCAGGAAGTAAGTAAAACTGTTCAACTGTTAAAGTGCAATTATGTTGCTTCTCTGTTTGCAAATTAGCTAGTTTTAAGATGTTAATTTTATCACAAGGAGCAAGTGTGAGGAACATCTGTTACAGCTGAAGTGTGCAAACCCCCTGCCATTCTGTCTAACACATTTGAGAGCGCACTGTGAAAGTGGGGACAATAATTCAACCCCAAATTAATTTTTTTATGGAAAAATACAAAATGACTATCAAACATAAAGCTTTTGTTTCCTGTGAATAGTATAAGCCTGAAAGCTACTGATGATTCAGATGTTCTTTTATCTTTTAGGCAGAGAATTTTTGTTATGCTGACTTAAAAATGTTTGTCTGGGGCTGACATGGACCCACATACTTTGTTTGTACTCAAGTCAGTTAATGCTGCCTATGAAGGGACTGGGTAATAAATCATAAGGATAAAATATTCATATTATGCCAATTTAATCATGTACATAAGCTGTTTCATTTGGTTATAGAGTCATAGAGTTTTAACCTTAATATTTTGAGAAGGAAAGTTTTTTAGATGAGTAATCTGTGAAATTAACTATATTTTTTAGTTTTGCTTTGAAAGGTTTACCTTTTAGATATAAGCTAAGAAATGCTATATTGTGCATTCGGTGTGTATAGGATGAATGTATCTTGGGGCAGGATGAGAAGCTTATTAGATGAGGGTGGGTAACAATACTGGGATTTGGTTTTAGTTAGCATCTACTGTTCTATGTTGATTTATGATTGGCTTTTTGAATCTAATTAGTGACCTTGGTCTCCTTTAGTATCAAGTCCTCCTAAAGCTTTTGTCCATCTGTGGGTATAGTTGGAAAGGGTGCCAGATTTTTCTAACCTCTGGCCTGAAGGTGGGACCTTTCTTTACCCTGGTGGGTGAAGACTAGAATGCTAAAAGGAGAGTAATTCCCAGAGTTTCCAAAATTGAACAGGTCTGAATCTGTTCATCAGAGCAGTGTTCACAGACCTAATGTGTACTTCCACATCTCCATTGCTGTTTTGCCATTCCTTTTTCCTGTGTTGTGTGAAATAACATGTGCTTGAAAAGCTGCTATTCAAATCTGTACTTCAGCCTACAGGGCAGGTAGCATGTCTTCCTGTTGTTGTAATATATACAGAGTTCCTGGCTCTTGCTGACATGCTTTCTTCTCCTTCTTTTCAAAGCATCAACAACAGGTGGCCCAGGCTGTTGAACGTGCCAAGCAGGTGACCATGGCAGAGTTGAATGCCATCATCGGGGTACGTGGCCTGCCGGGCCTGCCTCCTGCAGTGTGTATAACCAGCTTTCATTTCTTAATAGTTTTGTGGTTTGCTATCTGTTTGTGTGTGTGTGTGTGTGTGTGTGTGTGTGTGTAATTTTGTGTAGCCTTATGTTAATCTTTTTGATGAGGGTGTGAAGGGGCTTGGGTTGGGGCTTGCTGAGCTGTTTACAGGAATAGAGATTACTGTTAGAAAGAAGGATGACAGGAGAAACCTTTTAGGAGGGCAAGAAAAATAAATCTGCTGGGCAGATGCTTAAGCCCCTGAGCTATCTCCCTGGCCTGCAAAATCTACTTCTAAATGAGAAGATAAGTACAGTTTATGTCATAGCTGTGCTTTTGTGGAGTAAAAGCTTTGGTGAGAGTTTTGAAGACTTTCGTTGCTTCTGTCTTAGAGTGTTTGACCACAGAGAGGGTCAGAGAAGTCTCTGAGCTGTGATTTTTCAGTTTTCTTGCTTTTGGCTTTTGCCTTCCTGGGTATTTGAACCTATGTAGCTGTTGGCTCCCTTGCTTTCTCGTGCCTCTTTCATGGATTTCTAAGTGGCACGCCACTGAAAGGTGCCCTTTCACTGAAGGAAGAAGTGCTAATTGTCTGCCGAGTACCCTCTAGCCTTTCAGCAGGCTCCTGCTCTTCTGTCTGTGTCCGACTGGCCACTGCTTGTCAATCATGAGTCCTTTGATTGGCCTCAAGGAACTCAGTGGCCCTGTGACCATCTCTGCAGCAGTTCATCTCCAGCCTCTGCAGGGCCCTGGGCAGTTCTCATGTGGTCTGGCCCTTCCAGACTAAGAGCAGGATGGGGTTAAGACCAGGGAGGGTCCTTTCTGATTTTATTCATATGTGAGTGCCATGAGCTGATTCAAATCACTCATTTGTCAATTTATGTTAATTGCTTGTGAGAAGATGCCCTGCTGGTCTTTATAGTTCCCTCAGACACTTTGTAATGATAATTAGACATGCTGCTGTACGGATTAGGAGTGCCATAGTCCAGTGACGGCCACAAACAATGGAACCAGTTAATCCATCAGGGCTTAGAATTACATCCCGACTGGAGATGGAGAAAAAACATAAGAGCCAAGGAGGATTAAGAATGAGCCTCAGCTTGAAAACTCTCCTTTCATCAGTTTCTCAATTGCAGATCTGCAGTTGGGTTGCCTGTGGTAAGCTATTGGCAGTCAATTAGGTGAAATAAACTGGGAGGGTGACCTTCATTTCCTTTTAATAGCTTTTTCCTCCCTGAAATGGGGAGCTTCAGTGGATTTTCAGCTTAAATTTTATTCAAGCTGCTTTATTACACTTGACAGCTTAGCTCTGCATAAACAATTCTCCCTCCTCTTCCCCAGACCTTGGAGCTGCCTTTCTTCCCCTTCAGGATCACATTTTTGACTGTTACTTAGTGGGCTCTAATCACATTCAACACCAAACACAATTACATCTGCATTTGTCTGCTGCCTTCTGTACCCTTTTCTAGTGTAATGAATTGCTTTATTTCAGAGATCAAATCAAATATTCGCTGGTACTTTTGCATGTACTGTGTTTGATTAGCAAAGAGTAATAGTGAATTGTACTTGTAGCTTGAGCACAGAATTTTTTAACCCAAATGAATAAGGATGGCAAAGCCTGTTTTGATTAAAGGAAAATATATGCAAAGCAATTCTAAAGTACCCAGCTAAACTTTGAAGAACATGTTTGTTTTCTAATAGGCTGTAGATTTTTTACATGTAATTTTTCAGTAGTAAAAGTCTTGCATTGAGTCCCTCAGAGATGCTGCCCAGCCTCCATGCATCTCTCATATCTACACTTCAGGGACAAGGTAGTTTTGTTAACCAGATGTTTACAGATGTTGCCCTTTTGAGAGAAATCCTAAAATAAAAATAGATTGTTTTAGAACGGCCCATGAATGGCTAATTTTAGAAATGGCTTTTGTCCAGGAAAGATGTTGTGGAGATTATAAAGGCAGTTTAAGCTTTTGATGGTGTAGCAGCATTAACCCAAAGTAATGAATTGGACCTTGCACATGACTTGGGCCCCTGGCACACCCTCAGCATCCTGGCATGTGCAGTTACTGCCATTGAAAGTTTTCTATCGGTATATTAATTTACTGATTAAATTAGGCAGAGGCACTTTTAAAGTCTGCCATGATCAGTAATTATCCTGCAACGTAAGTTTCATGCCCTGGCATATGCCTGATTTTTACTTGAAAGGAATAGTGTGCATCCTAGAAAATCGAAGTAGCATAAAATTGAGTTGGCAATTCAGCAGACCTTCGCACCCTGCCATTGAAACTTGCAGTGTGTCGGCCTGTCTCCCCAGGGGAGGCGGCACCGGGAGAGCCTGTCTGTTCTACAAGCAGCAGCTGTGCTCTGTAAACTCTGCCTGGTTTGATAGCAGCTGTCAGTATTGTTCAGGGACCGACATAGGGTGAAGAACAATGGAAGAGGCTGAGTTCTTAGTCTGCGTAGACTTTCAGGTTAAGAAAAGAAATAGTAATTTAACGGTTTAGACATCTATTACAAGTGTGAAAGATCATGAAAGAGGATCCTTTAAAATGCAGATGAGCCAAAACATTCTCATCCCCTTTAAGGTACAATCAAGAGCTTGCTGCTTGCTGACAGGGCTAAAGATATTTCTCTTTAGCTAAGGACACCAAAGTCCTGGAGCTGAGAGCTCAGCCCTGTCCTAGCCGTTGGCTGCTCTGCTGGAGGAAGTTGTGTTCTTTCCTGTTCTTGTACCTTGGTTGAGTGAGGTGTGGTGCCTAGTTCTTGCCAGCCTTAGAAGTCTTGGCTTGTGGAAGAAAATAGACTGCACTGAAATTTTTTTCTGCTTGCCTTCAACTTGTATAAAGCACTGATAGGAAAGATGAGCATCTTAGACAGCTGATACTTGGACAAATTACTGGAACATTTTTGCTGGACTTTTTAAAAATACCTTCAGAGCAAGTGAATTTGACTACTGGCAGAATAGTAACTACAACATACTCTGAACTCTGCTCACAACTCGTTCCTGTTGAGTGTGTTGTGTTTCTGTAGCACTGAAAAAGGATAATTAACAATAGTGCATTGAGCTTAATAGGCACAGAATTTGTCTGCTTTGACACAACTCAACTTAGAAACAAAGATGAGGGAAAAAGGAACTTGTTCGAGATCTTCAATTTTTAGATCAGTGTCATTTTCAAGCTTATATGAACATTCCTTAGATCTTTTAAAAAAAATTATCTGTATTAAAAATGACCAAAATGATACTGGTTATTATATGCTATAAAAATATTTGTGGAATACGTAAAGGCTATGTGAATGGGGGTAAAATTCACTGACTCTTCAGGACCACTTTGCTATTTGAGGAGTTTGAAATTAAAAACTTTCTTTTGCCTGCCCTGATGAATACCGCTCTTAATTGAGTGGGGTTCCTAATGATACTTTCCTTTGAACAAGTTTACATCACAGTGTATCACATCAAAGTTTACATAATTTCTATAGATTTGACTGTATAGATATGTACATAAAAGATATATTTCTGTCCATACACAGGGATTTATTTCATTTTATGTACAGTTTCTATACAGTGAAGTGGACAGATCTTAGATTTACAACTTGCTCCCTTCTGACACCCAGGGCTGTCCTCCATGAGAAACACTTATCACTATAACAGCTTCCCTGTTTTTCTGATTCAAAAATGTCACCATCCCCAAAGAAGTAGTTGCTGTTATTTATTTATTTATTTATTTATTTTTTTGTAGAACCAGGGATTGAACTCAGGCCCTTGCACTTGCCAGGGAAGCACTTATTCCACTGAGTCATCTCCCCAGCCCCAGAAGTAGATGCTTTTAGTGAAAAGTAATCAGTCAATACTAGCAGAGTGCATTGCTTGGGGGGGTGAATTAATACTACAATTTGATAAATGATGTCTCTATGTAGTCCAGGCTGGCCTTGAACTGCTGATCCTTCAGTTTCAGCCTTATAAGTGCTAGCATTATAGGCAAGTTCTTTAAAGAAAAAGCATTTCTTCCCCTTGTTAACCTACTTGATGGTGTTTGTGAAAGTATATATTCTACTGCATTGTGTTGTCATGGACAAAAAGTATGAGCCCAGGATCAAACAGACTTTAGTAAGATATTGACTGTCACTGCTTTGTGGCCTTGTGGAATCAGTTAACTTCCATGAGTGTCCTGCTGTGTGTTGTGTCCCCCTATCCCTGCATCCTCCAGGGTGGGTAACACTGTGTGTGGCTTAGCTGACAGTGTTCTCAGTCTCTGTGCGCTGACTCCCTGGTTGCAGTTTTGTACCTGGCTTCTCTAAGTCCCTGTAACTGATCTCTGGATCCAGGTGGCCATAGTCCTGTTGGGTCCATTTCTCTGAGTAGCAGATCACTTCTTCCTTTCCTAGTGGTTTTATGGATGTAGGTATTTGAGACTGCGTCCAGCGCCTGCCATAAAGGTGTTGCGCATGAATGCCTTTAAACGAAGGCACAATGAGAAAACACTTAGGTTTTGATAAATAAATTTAAAAGCTCAAACTCAGAAAGAAAAAGTTTTAAAGGCAGATGGAGCTGGGCACAGTGGTACATACCTGTAATCTCGCTACTCAGGAAACTAAGGCAAGAGGATTACTACAAGTTTTCTGGGCTATGTAATGAGTTCAAGGTCAGCCTGAACTGTATAGAAAGATCCTTGCCTTAAAAAACAAATGAACCAAAAAAGCAGATGGACATTGTGTTGGACACACAAATGTGAGGGCAGAACACTGTTGGCTCTTTACTTAACATAAAAAGAAGGCAAGGCTGTTGCAGACAGTTGCAGGAACTCCTGTGGGAGAGTGGAAGGAGAGCTCAGTGGAAGATATAGACCCAGGATGGTGAAGGTTGTCCTTCCTACCCACAAAAGGTCATGTTTCTGGTAGTAGCCTCAATAACGACTGCTGAGGTATAAGAAAATACTGTGTTGGGTGTATTAGCTCATGCCTGTAATCCTAGCTATCTGGGGAGGC